TTCTAGAAAGGAAGCCTCTGGAACCTTCTAGAAGCTTCCTAGTTAATAGAAGTAGCTCGAGAAGCTTCCTAAGTAGGAGTATATATAGGGATCAAGGTTGAAGAGTTCTTCAGTCTCGACAACACATCTCTTGGAGTTCTAGCTCACCTTTCTGGTGTTGTTCTTGTACTCATCTGTTTAATCTAGTTCTGCCACTTCTTCTTAAACTTCTTGTTAGATTTCAAGTCTGTATTTTGTGTCCGTGACAGTTGCATCGTGTTCACCATACATAGATCGAAACTCCGCCAAAAAAGCTTCCAAATTATCCAATATTGGATTTCGTTGTTCAAGAAAAGATGAAAACCACGATAATGCAGAACCAGAAAGTAGAGTGCCAATAAACCTGACTTGTGATCCTGGAGTTGGATAGCTTTGCGATTGAAGTTCAATTGCCGATTGTACTTGATTGATGAACCCTCGAAACTTAGATCTCGTACCATCAAATTTCTCAGATAAGGCAATTCTTGGTTCTCTAGTGCTTACAGGGTGTTGTACAATTGGAGAAGGAATGTGATTTGTTGTAGATGTTGAAGGAGCTCCGATCATCTCTATATCTCCACTTTCTGCTATCCTTGTTCTTTCATGTATTGGTGAATTAAGTTGATGCATCGCAAGCATTAACTCCCTCATTTGCTCTTACATTTGTGCCATTGCACTCTTCATTTCAACAAGCTCTACCATAATGACACTAAGAAGAAAAATTTGTTTGATACTGCTCAAGACAAAAGAAAAGAAAGACTTAATAACAAAGAAGATACTAAGAACAATATCAGTTTAGAAGTGGGTAATCCGCAAACTTCTAATATGCTTATGTCTTGTCAAGAGAAAGGGGTAATCCACTCTCATTCAAGAAAAACAAAGCTCTGATATTGTAAGTGTACTCTTGTCAAACTGTCAAGGACAAAGACTCGATGAGGGAAAATATACACAAAAAGGCTATCTCGATATAATAAGTCAAAATATAAACAAGTAGGTATATTAAAAGGAAACTGGAATGGCTATTGCCACAAGACAAGAAACTAAAGACTCTTGAACCTGGACTAGAAGCAAGAAAGGAGTTGACAAGAGTGAAGAAGCCTTCACTCTTGTCTCTATATATACTATCTAACTAGGGGCTACGTGGCGACGTTCTATAGGACCTCCAATATGTATTGATTTTGTAGGACACATGCCTTGACTTACAAGGCAAGTTTTTCTACGTGTGGGCCACATAGTTAGCTTGATCTTCAAGCTAACAACATGTGTGGCACATGGCCAACTTATTGACCACGTTTCTAATCCAAAAAGTCAATTAAAGACACCTATGAAGTCAAAGCAGCATCTAGGAAGTTTCTAGGAAGCTTCTATATTAAATATTATAGAATTAACTTACTTTTATCTACTTTTACTTACTTCTACCTATTTCTATATGTAATTATTAGCTTACATGATTATGGCCGTGACAATAAGCTACAATCCAAATAGAAAAAGTCTAAAGAGATCTAAAACCAAACAATGAGGCATGATATTCTTTGAATACTTTAGGCTTTATAGAGTCTACACCTAAGCAGCTAGAAATTTGATCAAGTATTTTTTTTGAGTAAAATACCAGTACATTCACAATTAATAATATCAAAATAGTATAAAAAATAAAATTTTTATTATAGCTCCTATACTTATGTATGTAGTCTTTATCTAGCATGTATTTTTTATTAGTAAATCAATTAGTATGTCCAACTTAATTTGTGAATTATTTCTTAGATCCTCATGAGAAATTAAGTCTTTAAGTTCAAAGTAAATAACAAGGTGTATAACTTTTGAATCTCATGTCATGTATCCTAAGTAGTATGGCACTTTAGCATCTTATATAGCTTGTAAGGATAAATTTCTTCTTTTGAAGCCTAAAAACTTGAGCTTCAAAGAGACTACAAACCTATTCTTTGCTATCCTCATTGCTATTGAAAGACTTTAGAAAGGTGGCTGTGAAGAAGGCAAGATGGTACTTAAATAACTTAGCACAATTTTTGCTTTCTTATGATTAAATTTTAGAAGTAGTTCCTTAAATGGCTTTAACTAATTTTTTGTATATTTTTTCTAATAATAATATATATTTAGTTAATACATATGAATAAGGATATATCAAATTTTGATATTAAAGTAATAATTATAACAAGAATCATGATATAGTAAGAATTAGATTTAAAAAAATAAAATAGTATTAAATAGTATTTAATAAGAGACTTCTATTTGCTTTGTAGGAGCATAAATGCCTGAAATCAAAGTTAATGAGATAAGTAACTGATATAGTCATATTTAGGAAAGATTCAACAATAGGTTTAAGAAAAAATACCTCAAATTATCAAATATTGATACCTAGAGAGGACCAATTGTCAACATGGATCAAAATCAGACTCTAATGCACAAAATTGTGTATCTACAATGACTTTAGAGTTTTATGATAGATCAAAGAGCAAGGTTTCAAAGCAGACTTACAAAGAGATTTTTAAGCATTGTTTTTATATCAATTGCATTAATACTTAGTTTTTGGACTTTCAAAATTAGTAATATTTTTAGTTGGATTAGATTTTAAAAAATAAAATAGTATTTACAAAATTGAGGGTTTCTTGAGTTTTGTGGTATAAGTATAGATAAATTTTGAGTAGAGTGTTGGTATGCTAGTTGTAAATGTGTGTGTAAATTTTAAGGTCAATCAAACAGTTAGATCAAAGTATGTAAAGGTTTTTGTAGGTTGAGGTCTTAGAAATTGGAGTTTGAAGGTTAGTAAGTATTTTTAAGATCTTTAGCAATTTTTTGATTGGATTGAAGTGATTTCTTTTTAATAGAAACTAGACTTGATTTTCAATAATTTAGGTAAATTTTGGAAGCAATTCAATGGTTGAAGAAGAAGATATTGGTGTTGGAAGTTCAACATTCAGATTGGAATAGGAGGCCAGCCAATACCCAAGTAGAATTTAGGATTGATCTTCTATTTGGTAAGTTTGATCTTCTTCAAATTTTGTGTGCTTGTTACCAACTTAGTTGTTGAGAGGTATGTAAAAACTTAAGTAAGTTCAATAATATAATCAATAGATATTGAGGTTCTAAATTGCCTTAGGATTATGTTAATTTGATTAAGGTTTGGTTTAGGATTTAGAAATTCATTAAGATTTAGGATTTGTTTAGGATTTAAAATTATTTAGATTTTAGTTAGGATTTTGCTTAGGATTTAATTAAGGACTACTAGGATTTTAACTAGGATTAAATTAAGATTTGGTTAGAATTTATTAAGATATATTTAGGATTTTATTCTAATGCTTCCTTTGAATTTCTTTCAAATTTCTGCATGCTTCTTTTGTAATTTCTTTAAGTTTTTTTTGGATTTGATTAAAGCTTGATTAGCATTATTATGGTTTAATTGGAGTTATTTAAGATTTTATTAGAGTTAGAATCTTGTTGTTGCAATTTCCCTTCTACCTTCCATAGCCAAGTGCTTGGTGCATTCTTAAGCAAGGCTTCACATAATATGACAACCTACTAAAAGAAGGATACCTATCTGGTATTTTTCTATTATAAAAAAATAAATATATTTTTAAATTAAAAAAAAGTAACATATAAGTAAGCACTTAAAAGTCTCCATCCTTTAAGATATTTTTTTTATCAAATTATGATTCAAAAAATTAATATTAATCATGCTTAAGAGTTTAATAGAATATACTTTAACTTATGAAGCAATTGATTGACTTTTATATTTAAAGGAAAGAATTTATTGGTTACATTAAATGAAATAGATCTCTTACTTACATTATCATTTATAATAAAAGTTTGAATTCTTGGAAATCTTTCTATTAAAGCAATAGATAGTATAAATAATCGAAAATAATACATTATAATTAATTATATTATAAGTTTTGTTGATAAAAATATAATTATAATATTTTAAAAATTAATTTATATATATATAATAAAAATATAACTATTTACAATTAAATTCATAATTTTATAACTTATTTGGAATAATTATTCGCTACACAATGTCTTACTCTACATGATAGAAATATTCTTATTTGGATAAGAAGTTTAAGTTCAAGCTATATGTCTTTTATAATTTTTCTAGGAAAACAAGTAGAAATCACATTATAAATTCTTATGACTAATTTAACCTAAAATGGAGCATTAGTAAAGAATATGGTCTATGATATTAAAAATAATTTAATATTATATGCTAACAAAAAATGTCAAAGGTATCAAAAGAATAACTTTTAAAAACCTTAAAATTAACAAAGAGAGAATTTTCATTTTCTTATTACTATTATTGATGCACATGCCATAAAAACTATATATAAAGATATTATACAAAACTATCACAAAAAGATCTTAAAAAACACAACACCACACTTACATCTCAAAAAGACAAAAACCATAAAAAAACACATTATTGCACCAACTTTGCAATACACAAGCACCACATCACATTAGCAGTTTAGTTATAAAGAAGATCTTAAATGCCTTCCATCATTGCACAATTACAACACTACAATGCCAAATGGATCTATTACTACCTTAATAAAAACCTAATTAATGGATGAATAGATGTTGATAAAATTTATATTACAGTGACCATGATATAGTGAGTCAAAACCACTACTAGACTAGTTGGAATGATAAAAAAAAATACTACACAAATGAATACCAAAAAATTACAATCTTTTAATTCATGTGAATAGAGAAAGTATCAATATCATTAATATTAATATATACATGATTCTCACAAGAGCACACCCACAATCATTTCAAAGTTTGCTTATATTTCATACACTCTACTTTTATTCCTCACTTTGCAATTAATTCTATACCATGTTTTGTTTCAAATTTCAATTATCCTATTTCAATAGCCTATTTTATTCAACAAAACCAAAACACTTTGATGATGACATGAGGAGGCCTTAAATTGCTTTCTGTTTCTAAAGCATCAAAGCAAAGTGTATAAAAAGATACCTTCAAATCTGGGATCTTATTCAAACAAGAAAACCCAAAAGGTAAAAACATGAGAAAGAAAAGGAGAGCGTTGGATAACATCACAATTTGTCTCCATTTCACAATCCACACATAAGAGTTGTCATACCCAAGTCGAAAATTCCTCTATCATTGAATACTGCCCAGTTACCCTTTTAAGCCAGTTGCAGTATTTCGGAAGCAACTGAGACCTGTCAAGCTTTCCCTTACGGCTTCCCTACAATGAAAGACTTTAAATTGTGGCGCTACTTCGCTAGGAAGCTTCTAGAATCACTTGTTGGTCAGAACGTGTTGCGTTCTGTGTGAATCAAAACCTAGACCACACTACATAAATGCACCTAGTTTACAAACAGCTGCTGCAGTAGACCATTAGGTTGCGGGCGTTTGTTAGAATAGGCCTTCGTCTACAGTTAGCTTCGGCTTCTTCAGGACGAGCAGTGTTGCAATGGATTCCACTACGCCACTACTTTTGTCCGAAACGAACCTGATTCTATCAGTTCTTGTGCGTATTCTCGTGCCCATCCGTCGTAGTGAAGAATCTCTGCCAAGGAAGGCAATTCAACCAACTCCTCCCTGTGCTTCTCGCAGGTCTTCTCGATCACTTTCACGATGTCCAAGTAGCCAATCCTGCATTAAGAGAAAAATCGACGTCAAGACTATAGACAGGATATTACGCTGGACTGGGATTTTAGGATCAAACAACCTTCTACAGGCAGAATCATCACGGTGATGGCACCAATGCCGGTGTGTTGAATTCACTGGTGATAGCTAAAAGTGATGGATGAAGATTTCCTGAGGATTCGAAGCTCTACCGTAGGACCTGAGCTCAATCTATTCCATCCTACCCGGACTACTCATGGATTCTCATATCATTTGTAAAAAGCCAACCTAATTATCAGTACTGTTATTGGTGAGGAACTGAGTTTTGTGTCGTGAGTACCTCTCCTCAAGGAAAAGCTCAACGGCCTTTTCATTTGCAGCACTCAGTACACCAGTCATCGTTCCACCAGCTCGACCAGCGCTGTAAGAGAGTGCCATAGAGGGATATTTTGCGTGGTCGGGCTTCATGAAAGTAAGATTTCCCATTCTACTCACAACCAGGTCAAATTGTAAGCCAAATTCACGAAACATCGATGTACATACATGACTCTGAGATTTAGCCCTACCTTCACGTTCAGGCGTACATTTTCCGATAATAAGTATCTAAATTAAGCAGTTAATTCAAACAGCAGAACAAAAAATATTCACTCTACGATTGAAGCAGTGCGTGGAAAACTTCACCCGTAGAATATCAGAATAAGATACATAAACTTACTTGAAAAAGTCCAGACGAGGCCAGGTCTTCTCTGAACAGGAAATGCGCTCTGGCCACGACATGGTGTACAGGATGGGAAGCCGCATGTCTGGCCAGCCTAATTGAGCAATTACTGAAGAGTCCTATAAAACAGAGGATACAGACATCATCCCAGAAGTCAGCAATTGTATAACCAATGTGACAAAAGCAAAAGTCTACATTCTGAGCTCTTGGTGAACTATGACCTATTCACAAATGGTTTGGAAAAAAAATCTACATGTCAAACATGAGAGTTACCTGTGTCTCCACCATGGAATGAATGATTGATTGGGGATGGACAACAATATCAATGTCATCGTAATCAGCACCGAAGAGATAGTGAGCTTCAATCACTTCCAACCCCTGACAAGCAACACATTTGACGTCATTTCTAAGCACAAGGAAGCATGCATGCTCCAAAGAAGATCCACCAACTATTTCAATTGAAGCGACATCCATAAAATAGATACCAGCAGGACTTGGTTGCAAAAACAAAATTTGAGAAAACATCGAGTGAAATGAATTGTTGCCAGCTTTGCAAGCGCAACTCAGAAAAAGCTTACCTTGTTCATGAGCGTGGCAGAATCAACCGTAATTTTGCGGCCCATGCTCCAGTTGGGATGCTTCAAAGCATCTGCTACTTTAACCTCCTTCAACTTCTCCACAGGCCAATCCCTGAAACGACAACACGTATATGTATGACAACTCTGGATAAAGAGGATGAGTTCTACAATCTCCACGAATTTGCTGTGACCACCTGGGCAACCGCAGGAAATATACCCTTATTCATATACCTGAATGCACCTCCGGATGCTGTGAGGATAATCCGCCTCAATCCACCTTCAGGAAGACCTTGGATACACTGGCACAAAACAAGCGTGACGTTCCTTAGCAAAATCAACAATCCAGCACCACTCCCTAGCCTTGTACAAAATTAGTTGTGAATTGAGGCTCTCCTTCACTTCTGTTAGAGGATATTAACAACACGAAGGAGAAAGGGGCAATAGTCTCAATTTGCCTTTGACACTCGAGACGTCTGTTATATCTCTGAATATACAATTTCTTGCAGATTATCCACCCACTAGTATAGACTCGTTCAGTCTTCATAAGCCAGCTGACGTGACTCGTGCAGTCTTCATAAAGGTTAGGTTCCGAACTACTAGATGAAATAGTATTGAGGCTATTCCTACTCAAAACAGTACAAATGGCACAGTGAGCAAAACCTGGAAGATGGCCGAGTGCTCAGAATCAGCAGGCAAGATGTTAATGCCATGCTTCTTGGCCAAAGGCAAAACATATGGACCTCCAGCAATTAAGGTTTCTTTATTAGCCAAAGCAATGTCCTTTCCAGCTTCAATAGCAGCAACTGTGGGCTGCAATAAAGACGATTGAAATAATGTTAAACAACTGGTATGCGATGACATCTACAATATGTCACAGTGATAATAGAGAACCTGAAATTTCTAGCCTGTTAGAAACCGCTCCATGCATTCAGTTACGAAACATTAGACGTTCTGAGGGGAAGGGTGAACCTTCAATCCTGCGCAACCAACGATCCCTGTGACGACAGTGACGGCTTCTGGATGCCTCGCCACCTGAGTGGGAAAACCAACTTTAAACTTTCAATTTACAACTATACAGGTTATAACCAGTAACACCGAGGATGAGTGTTTACATTCCTCACAATATATAAACCAAAATGATGACGTTAGGACAAGTTATGGCAGCTGTAGATGAAGCACAAACAGACAACTGAACACAAGCCGAAGCTCCTTCCTACGCGTGCTGCGTGTCCCGTAAGACAAATACAAACCTCCACAATGCCTTCCTCGCCCACCATGATTTCTGGGAGCTTGTCCAATCCAGCAAGGGCTTCCTTTAAAGCAGGCACTGATGAAGCGTTCTTAACTGCCACGAGGCTAGGTCTGAACGCCTTAATCTGAAACAGAACGTGTGCGCATGTAAAATATTAGTAAACAACACAAACATGCGACAACACACACACACACACACACACACTTCGAATAAAGGAGGAAAAATGAGATAAAATAAAATAAAAAGGTAGATGCTGCGGTTTAATCGCTGAAACATGTATTTTCAACATTATAAGAATGACGGCGCTGGTCGTAATAATCCTAAGAGGACAAAAAAGACGTTAATGCAACCAAGTCTGAAATTCTTGAAAAGAAAACAGCATTTAGTAATATGTTAAGGGCATAAATACCAGCCTAGGAGTGTATTCAGATGTAAAGAAATTACCTGTTCAGCCAACAAGCTGACATTGGAACCAGCAGCCAAAGCCACGACCTTGAATTTATTCGGATTTTCGGCGACAATGTCGAGGGTCTACAACACAGAAGAAAACCCAAGCTATAGAACCTTATAGCACTAACTTAACAAAATGATCGTATATATCGCTTCATCTCCACCAAAATACTAGTGACTTGTTCCTTGAAACTGAACACTAGCAAAATTACAGAATCAACAGATTAAAACCCCAATGAAAGTTACCCTGAGATTAATAACCAGATGCTTAGGCCATTAATTCATTGTAGATTATTCAAATGTATTCTCTTGTCAGGAAATAAGGAACTGTAACGTATTATGCAAGGACCAGTATGCACCAGAACAGTATATGTCACCTGTGTACCGATAGAGCCAGTCGATCCGATAAGGGAGATAGGTTTCGGACCGTTTCTGATCTTAACGTCTTCTATGACAGCCCTTCCAGGCCAAGCTGGAGGCACTTCAGCTCCCATACACCTTACACCTGAAGTGGTCTTGACAGTCAAGGAAGCTGGTTTCTTGCTGCCTTTAACTGCAAACAAGGGATGACAACTTGAAGACGGGACAGCGTTGGAGGGTTCGTAGAGAACCAGATAAGGAATGCAAGACTGATTTCGGTACAATTTATTTGCTTAAAACTTTCTATGAATATGGTTGAGGGCACGAATTCCTGGCACGACGGACCTTGGAGCCTGCAGCCAGAGAAGGAAGACATATCCATACCAGACATTCCCACGTCCTTCTGCACCCCAGAAACATACAAGACGTCAAACCGTTGTCACCAGAGACGACTATTCCATCTTATTATGTTCATATCACCAGCTACAAATGCCCACATTCTTGATGTGAACTTGTAAACAATCTAGAGTTTTAGAGCAGCCCACACTTACTATTGCTCTGAAACCGGATTCCAGTGACACGGTCCCGGAGATTCCTGTCATGGCTGCTGTCTTCAGAGCCATGACTTTCGGAGCAATATTATTCTGCAAATACCCCGCAGCAAAACAAATCAGCTAGAGAGCAACAACTCTGTCGCATCCTTAAAGGACAGTGTAGCCCACGACTTGCACAAAAATCACAAGAAACAACGGCATTCTCTGATTTTTCACACTTCAGCCACAGTTGCATTGCTAGCAAATCAGAATCGACAGCAAACTAATGAAAGCAAAGAATCTTGCTGGCAGAGATGCTGATCACACTAGTGAAATCTCGGAAGAAGATGGTGTTAACGGAGACAGAAATGACCTAACAGACAAATTAGTGAGTCATACAAGTTCTAATCATGGCCAGACTTCCAGCCTAATGTTATACGAAAGGAGGGGTTAGAAGAAGAGCAAGTCCAATTGTGGACGTAATCAATTGGGCATACACAGCCACCTCGACAGCACAAAAACAACGAAAAAAGAAGGCAACATAGGAATCGACAATGCATGCATTCTCCCTGCGAGCCCTCGAAGAAAGACATATCCTTATCCATTCACGAAGAACAAGTAATCATGTAAAACTTGGGTGATGAACAGCACCACCGCGTTTTCTCCCAATAACGATCTGCTTGCACACTGGCGTCAACACTGACCAAGAGGTCACATCCCCAATACAAACGCGGACGAGACCTGAACTGAGAGGTTAAATGTATTTAATAAACCCCACAGTTGGTTCGCCTTCCGCTCAGAAAAAGTGAACAAAATCCATCAATCCGGCAGAGCACTGTAAAACCATCGCACTAGAACAAGTACAGTTAAATTCTCTCGCGGAATTAAAGTACGCGAATAAGAACTTAACTCTTAAACTTCCTGAACATCGCAGCGGAATAAGTTCGCACAGGGCGAAACCAAAACCGAGCCATAACAGATGGGCACCTCTACCGAGAACGAAACACACCCAATATCTCTTCGCGACCACATAACGCAGACTCAACCTTGCGAGAAAAAATAAAAAAATAAAAAATAAAATGCACACCGGCCCACAAAAGCCCCCGAGCCTTCTCACAATTCACAGATAGCTCGAGTGCACAGCAAAATTCTCCCGTCCCTCAATCACAAACGAATTCCCCCAGAAACACACAGAAATCCCGCAGAGGGTCGAATTAAGTAGAGAACCCACCACAAACCCAACTTGCACACACAACTTTTAACGAAACAAAGAAGTGCACACGAGCTCACAGGGATGCGCAACGCCGAAAAAACAAACACTATCAGCTGTCGTCGAGGAGAACAGATGCGCAGGCTGTCGTCGTCGTCTTATCAACACGGAGACTCCTGGACATGAAAGCTCCCGCACCATCGCTTCTCCTTGGCCCCCACCACTTCGCCGAAATACGTATCATTATTCGTATGTGTACAATTATTTCTGTATAGTGTATTAATGACCCTGCGACGATCATTGGGTACGTACGTATCATGGATCTGCGGGCCCCGCAGCCATACAAAGGGTAAGGATCTGGGGAGTGGCGAGGAGGTAGTCAGCGAGCTGTCGTGGACCCGGCCCGATACTCATTGCGTCGGAGAATCCAGCGGCATGCATCTGGGCCGGGTGGTGCGACCCACCCGTTCCATTGGGGGAGTGCCAGCGTGGCGTGGACATCATTTGTCGTTTCTCCCCTAGACCCCCTTGTCTTCGTTCCAAAATCGTTACCCTGCTCGCACCCTCCATTCAGGTATGACGTGTCAGAGTCGATGCCTCCACCTAGTGCCACGTGATGGCGACGGTTATGTCCGTAACTGCGCCGCTTTCATCCGCCGGCCAGTTATTGCGTGGAATCTGTCATCTTCACAGATCGACCCCCCGTTTCTATCTGAAGTGTAGTCCAGGGCAGACCCACCCTTCGACATCATGAGCTATCAAGGCGTTTTCGGTTGGAAATTGAGGCTGCCTCTCGAAACTCTTAACACTTCTATTTGTTCGTCTTTAAGGTAGCCGACCCATTCTCAATCACCTCTCATTTCCGGCCTGTAAGGTGGTGTACTTTTGATCAACTAGACATGATAATACCAATCTTTTTTGACACCTTACGATTTTACATCAATTCATATTTCGCCTCAACCCCATGGTGCCATTGGGTAAGAAATTAAGAATTTGATGCCAACACAACAACAACAACAACAACAACAACAACAAAAAAAAAAAAAAAAAAGGTTTGCCTGTATGTCAGATTCAGGTCAAAGAGAATCTCCAGCTAAAACATCAACATAAATTTTGTTTTTGGGCAAAATTGTGTGAAAATACTTGGAATCCTCTTGATTTCTATTTCCCTACACTGGGATATTTTATTTTTATTTTTTCATACACTTTTGGCAGATATGCTAAAATGCTTAAGTGATTGGAAATTGATCGGCTACCTTACACATGATGAGGAGGAAAGTTAAGTCAGAATGTGCTGTGGTGGATTAGAACTCCCTCGTGGTCATTCACAGGGAGAAACGGTCCGCCGGGGGATTCAGATGTGGAATGTGTCATGTCGGCGGAAGTCAAGTCAATTGGGCGAGAGAGAGGAGAACAGATTCCAAGGGTTTTCTGGGGACGATGCTCCACATCCAAATCACTTTATTGTGGGGATTCTGCTTTCTTTTCATGGGATGCTTGCTCTCATGCATTGTGCTCAAATCCTGGTTCGCATAACAAAACAAATCCAGGGGGGGGGGAGGCTTTTATTCTCATTTGCGTAGTTCGAGAAACTATACACGGAAGACTTGGAAGAGTTTGAAGTGGATGACATTCATCCATTCACAACCCTAATTGCTTTACACTACACAAGGTTTGTTGGGTCCTGTGTTTTTGTTCTCAAGATTTTAGTTTTGTTTGTTTAAAGTGGAATAATATGAACCTTGCATGTGAATTCAATACATGAGGTTTTGTTTGCCAGTATACTTTTTATTCAATTGGTGAATGTAAAGTTTGAATGGTAGATGGTAATTAAAACATAGTATCTCTTCCACTCATTTCAACATTTTTGTACTTTGTACGGATTTTTATATTTAATTTAATAAGAAACTTTTGTGTTTACAATATTAGTATAGAATTGAGGATACAATCATATAAATTATTTTGGAACATTAAAATTAAATGTTAGTCATATTAGTTACAATTTATTTTTTATTTTAAAGTTTGTTTGTTTGTTTGTGTGGTCCTAAAACTCACAACTTTTGCTTTATCTCTTAGAAAATATCCTATAACACAGTTAAAAACATAAATTAAAAAAAACAGAAAGAAGATGATCAGTGAACATTTGTGATATTTTTTTTAGTATAATTTCTTCGTGCAAGATTATAACACTGGTGCAAGGATATAAAATTGACTCAGTAGAATTATTAAGTGGTACTTAATAATATCCAATATATGGCCATGTTACAGTTGTTATCCAAAATAAAGAATACTAATATTTGTATTAAGTTTCAATCCCACAAAATTATATCTGATTTCGTTAGCATTATAGTAGAAAGTTTTTAAAAATCGAACGAAAATCAATGAATTAATTAAACTTTAAAGATATTTTTACAACGGGAATATGGGAACAACGTTTTAGGTAATAGAAATTTAATGATGTATATATGTGTGTGTGAGTGTAAATAAATAAATAAATAAATAAATAAAATTGTGGTTTTTTGTAATAAATCGACTCTTTAAATTTCAAATATGAATCCAAGAGTTGTCTGATGTTAAAGATGTCAAAATGGCACAAATACCTTCAACAATTCTTCAAAGTTAGTGCAATTGTTTTGTTGTGAACAAAAAGAACAATAAAAAAATATCGCCACAATAAGATAATTAAGTTTTTATTTATAAATATACATAAATTTAACTTTAGTTAGAAAGATTTAATTTTTTTAATTTTTAAATAAAAATATTTAGAAAATACAAGAATTTACTTATTATTAATTCTTAATATTATGAAGTTCGTAAAACTTCTTGATCAACCCAAAAGCTTGATAGAAAACTGACCTCTGCTGAGACAAAACAATGCAAATCTTCTCATTGTTTATTCCTTTTTTCGGGGCAAAGGACGAAAAAGACACCATATTTAGATGAAAAATTATGCTATGGATAAATTTGACACCATTTCAAACGAATAAATCGTAGCTCAACCAATTGTACTGGTCAAGCACATGCAGAGAATGCTGCACGAACTGCTATAGAACTGAGAATTAAGTCGGTTGAAGTGGAAATAAAAGGGTTAGGTTACGGATAGGAGTCGTTGCTACTATTTAAAATGAATAAATAATCTCAATCAAGTACTTAATGAAATTAAATTAAAAGATCTAAATGGTTCAATTTACTATGTCCATTTCATGTTTTCTTACTGCAAAATTGTTAATTAAGATCCAATGTTTAAAACCACTTACCGATCAAATCTTCAATCATGGTGACATTCCATTTTATATTGATACCAAAATTGTTCATTCGCAAAAATGTAAAAATAAAACAAAATATTACTTGTTTAAAAAAGGAACTACATTGCACCCGAAAAAATTACTACTGACCATTATCATTTTGTCACAAGTATGTGCGATGATCCATTTTCCAATGTCTTTATTCAGCTTCTCGCAAAGTTGAGAAGATGAGATCTACCTCAATACAATCAGACAGATAAATATGAACCTTCATCATGTGGCTTTCATGTCCACATATCACCCTATCCTGATCAGCAAAATTGCCACTCCGGCATTCTTTCGTATGGTTCCGCACTAGACAAAATGTTTTCAAGACCCATGGCCTGTTTTATTTGGCTTGTAGCCTAATCAACGTGTGCCAATCACCAGAACATGGACGTAGCTCATGTGAATTTAACAAGTCAATGAAAGCTTGTAACAGCATGTCCTTTCGGAATAAGAATATCGGGTAAATATGAGATGAATGAATTTGTCATTTATACAGTTCAATCAAAAAAGGGAATATAATGCATGGGTTCACTAAACATTGAGCTTCAGACTTCGCATCCACTCGCAGAAGCTCAGGTCATCAGTGGGCACGAAACTGCTCTTCAATCGTGCTCTTTGCTCCACCGTGAGAACCCGTAACTGGGGGAACCTAGCCTCCTAGAGACATAAACATCAACACAACACAGTTAGTATAATGTCCAGATGCAGGAAGAAAAGCAGTTCCATCTACTTTGATTGATGAGTTAGTGTTGATTAGTGGATTTCAGAACAGATACATCGCAAGTGACGTCACATAGTGCTACGGCAAAGAACATAATCAAACAAATGTGTGGAGAGGGAGAAAGAGAGAAAGAGAGGTTTCAAAGACCTGTTCATAAGGAGGATCTTTGTGTGCTGGTATTAATCTTGACTGCAAGTACCGGGCTTGAGAACTTGCCTCCTGTGATGATTCATCAATATGAAAAAGATCAGAACTGGTTCATCAGAGAAGACACGGGTGAGACTCAATTGCACTACCAGAACTCACGTTGAGCATTCTTAGCAGATTAAAGGAAAGTCTAAACACACGAGCCTAAACATTTACAGACATCCTGTCCAATCTTAAAACCTTTCCATTGTTAAGTTCAGTTCTTGGACCTTAAACGAAAGCATCCGAGGAGCTGGAAAACGCTGCTCTGTGAGTTCTTGGGCAAGAATGTGACAAGCTGCTTGTGCTTCTGCATTCCTAGCTTCATCCGCCACAACTCTCAAACCCTGCATATAGGAGAGAATCAAGAAATATAATTCTCATTTCATATTCTGAATTTTGTCCACATTTTCAACACAAAATAATTTGCTACTCACAAGCACCTGTCACTCGTAACAAATAGAAATTCCTCGAACAAGGATAACAAGTTCGTCGACAACATTCTGAAAATCCCTCGAAGTGATATAAAATCCTTACAGATATCTATTGATCTGCATGAGCACATGAATACAATTGCAAGTAAGATTTACGTCACAATTCTCAAGCTTGTCAACACCTCCAGACTTACACACGATAGGATATCACAAGATATTCACATCAAGCAAAGCACTCACCGTCCAGATGAAGACATCAATGCCATGATCTAAGACAATCACAGCGTCCGACTGCATGGCCACATCATGAGCAGGTAACTCCTCGAAGGTGCCTGCCTCCCGATGCATAAGCAACCTTGGAGCCATCATACGCAATGACAAATCGAAGCCAGCCTGTCAGGATGACAATATTTTGCTATTAGAAGAGGACTTGGAAGAAATACGACACTGATCGTGTCGGAAGTAGCTCACACATGAAATAACCACAACCAGTCACAGCAAACTGAGATCTGCACATATAAAATGAGGGGCGTATCTCATCAAAATCGAGCTATGAAGACTACTTCATGGTCTGCAACTTCATCATCAATGAGTGGCTGACTAGAAAATAAACTTCTGAAAGCACAAGAAGAAAACGAGACTGACAAAGCAGCAAAGATCAATAGGTTATGGCAACAAAATAATGTACGAAAATCTACTGCATACCTGCAGGTAGAGATTCCTGTAAACAGCTCTCTCATCTTCATGTCCTATGATGCTGCCCAATAAAGGGCCACGCTTCAAATGAAACAAGAGTTCTGGCAACCTTGAAAGACTTGAAGGAAAAGCTCGTAGCTTGGACTTCGCAATATAGCTCCCAAACTTCGCAGCAATGTCTTTAACTCTCTCATCTACAGAAGCTCGCATGTCAGCAACATCTCGAGTAGTCTTCGCTTCCAACACAGTTCTCTTTGCTATTAGAACTGCAGCCACCTGCGCTGACACCAAATAGATAAATAAATAACGAAAGTGATGAGAACAAAAAGCATGCATAGCTCGTGATTTATCTTGGATTAAAGAGGAACATACTCAAGCATTGTCCAATCCAATCACAAAGAGAAAATATGTACGAGCAATGTTGGCTAGGAGAGAATCGTGTACAACTAGTAAGAAAATCACAATAAAGGGAAAAAAAAGGGGAAAAAAAAATGACAGTTCCTTGCACCAAGACAAAACTGCAAATTCCAATTCATCATAAAGTACAGTACCTCATCATCCACACTATGCAAGTAATCCGATATACTATCTGTCGTTGGCAAGCGCACTGTCACTACTCTAGTCACTTCTGCTTGATGCACACTGGTATATCTTGCAACAATTTGGAAGTATACATGACTTTCTTCTATGTCATCTTCCAATTCCATTGTGATAGCAAATGCTTGACAATCTTCGACACTAAGTAAGCGCACAGCTGTGGATGTATCGTTTCTAAACTGTCCTACACCGGAATCGCCACGAGGCTCTTCTCCTGGTCCTGCAATCTCAACCAAGCACACCATCAAGGTATCCATACGAACACACCATATGATCATCTGAACAAACGCGATATAGTCTCTTCAACGTTGCTTGAAATGCCAGACAAAAGCTCACCTATTACGCGAGTCACGACAACATCGTCAGAACAGCGAATCTCCAACAACCCTCCGAAACCTGTGGAGCGCCGAACTGCACGTTGCAAGTTGGTGCAATAGACCTCTCCAAAATCATCATGCAAAACCAACAGACCGCCCGAGGCACTTGCTAATGGCTGTAAAGTAGGAATCCGAACGGGACATGTTCCGGCACATAAAATATCTAATGCTATGTCTAAACGTCGAGCTTCCTGACCGAGATACCCCATGTGTTTGATTGCATTCTCCTCCATATATGCATAATTCATGTGGGTGGTAGAGCAAGGAAGCGATCCAGGACCCAACGTAGTTGGTCCACCAACGCAGACCAGCACCCGGCTTCTTCCACCAGAGCGCTTGGATGTGTTCACTGGAAGCTCTGTTGCTGGACCTTGAATCAGGGCCAACACCACCTCAACAGCTGTTCCTAGACATCGCTCCCTTTTTGCCTCAGGCAAACAACCTCGATATGGACGTAGAGCAGATACGATGCTACGAGCTTCAGAAAGACACACATGAATAGGAGCAAGATACACTCCTGTCCCATATATAAGCATCTGCTTGAGTTCGTGGCTTAAGCTAGAATCACCAGGTAGTACATCTGCTGCAGCTACAGTCGATTCTGACAGATCGAAGACAGATACGGTCCGTCCGTAAGTAACAATCCCGATCCGTGTTGCAGGAGAAAGGGAATCTAAGAACGTATGTAATGACCCTTGCAACTGCGTCAAATGTTCTACATCTAAGCTGTCGTCGATTAGGAGCATGATTGGCGCAGTCATACTTGAGTCAGACACTGATACGAACCCAGGACGTCGAGTCCCTGCATTCAATAGCCCTAAAATTAGTTAGGAAAGTTTCCAGATCCCACCCAGAAACATTTTAGGTTTAATTCTGCACTTCAGAATGTATCATCGCTTCTAGGTAGATTTAAATGACTCGCATCACCCCACTGAAATTTAATTCATCCACATCAGGGCCATTAACTCTAGTAGTATAGTTACTCCGAAAACTATACACAAAAGCCTAAAATCGGGTGAAAGTAGCTTCCAGCATTTTCTGAAACAAATAGTACCCAATTGGTAACGTTGTATTATGGATCAAGACAGAACCTGAATCGACATAATTGACCACGCTCGTCGCAAGCTCTGGCCAATTACGTAAATCTTCAACTCTAGGAGCCCTGTACTCTCCGTTGCTCTCGTTAGATTTGTTGCAAAACGTGCAGCTCCAGAATCCAGTTCTTGGTGCAATGGTGCAGTGTTGATTGACATACGCTCCACAATTTTGACAGCGGTAGGGCTCATGCACAATAACGGGCAGGCTTGGCTCTATTTCTCTTCCTGGACAGACCAGAGCTCCAAATCCCAAGCTGGCAGTGTTCATGGGCTTCCTCTCATTAAATACCTACAAATAGATCAGGAAAATAATCTCATCAGCTAAAACCATCAAAATGACTTCCTACATCGGTCATATACACAAGTTCGAATGTGAGAAAATAATGTACAAATAATTATCGCACAAATTACGCATAGACAATCGAAAAACTAAAGTTTATAGACAAGGCACATTGTGGTGGGGAGTACCTTTTGAGCTGAAAACAACAAGAAGGGTGCGGAGGCAGATAAGCAATATGCATCGAAATCCTCTTCCGTCACTCCATGTATGCCAACCCCTGATAAGCCAGAAAGCCCGTGATCTGCCAGCTGTGCTGGTGAATGAGGAGCTAATGGAATCTCTGCGAAATTGGGAGGCACTCGGGGCTGCTGCACATGATAATCAGGCTGTGGAGGCCGAGGTGGGCTATTGAACATCGGAGGACCGTGCGGACCTGCATACTGCGAGGGGATCGAAAAGCTGGGCAACAAGCTCTCGCCCGACCCAGCAGGAGGACCCATTGGAATCGTCGGCAATAACTGATCTGTCCGCGACCCTGAACCTCCTAACCCTGCGTCACCATAAGCAGCTGGAAACCCTCCTGCACACCATCTCGCACCAGAAGCAAAACCCACCCGCTGTTCACTCCAACAAAGAACCAACAGCTTGACACGGTCAAAGACCCAGTTGCTAATTTCAGCTATAATTCACCACCGGGCCCACGAAAAAAGCTACAAGTTGACCGCGATCGGGTCAGGACTACACGAAGGAATCCAAGGCCCATCACCTGCACTAACTTGGTGCTCCAAGTGCTTGTGCCCCCGATGTGCACGAGCATGAGAATTCGGGTTCGGCACTTGAGCCGACGTTTCCGAGCGCGCGTGCTGCAACAAAGGCTGAGGGACAGATCGCGCCGAATCACGGTGCCCAGAGCCGAACGGTACGTGCGGGGGCGTGTTCGACGAAGACGATCTCTTTCGCGATGGAGGACCACGATTGTGCCTATGCTCCTACGCGTCCCCTTCGCCGCCTAGCGGCATCAACTACCCTTCCCCAAATCGACAACGCCAACTAGCCTGGTTCAAAATCACCACCCAAAACACCGTTTCCTCCCCATCTACATCTCCAAACACGTAACCCACACACTCTTACCAGAGCCTCCGCCTCCTGCTCACTACGCCATAGCCTCGCTTCTAAATTCGCGTCACCCAGATTGTGCAGACTCATGGACAAGCTGTGAGCAAAGCCGTGCGCATCTCGACGCGGCTCCGCCACAGTCGGTGTGCAACAGCATCCGGCGCATGAATTCGCCACCAGAGATGGACGATGCGAAGCTCGCGTGCTTGCGAGCATCGATCGTAAATGCTCAGCCGATGATGCGTTCCGACCAAGCAATCAGTTCTGGCGCCAGCGGCGTTGGCGCCGCCTGACGTGGCTGAGTGCGCGTACGTGGCAGTGGGTTCGGTTTGGGTTTGTACATTAGGGGGAGTCAGAGTGATAGAAAAAAGCGATGAAAAAACTTCTGAGCAAATGAGGACAGTCTATTATTTTCAGCTTGATGCCTTCAAAGATTTTGGTTGGTTTACTTCACTGTTAAACACTTTGTACAAGATGCAACCAACAAATGCACTCATTGGTGTTTTCAAAACTTTCAAAAACACATCTATAACAAAATTCAAAATCTTCAAGCCCAAGTCAAAATTGCTATAATTTGCAAACTAAAAACATAGATCAAGTTATTTATGCCATTGAAATTGTAGAAAACTAAAATTAGAAATGGAGGAGAAGAAGGGAATATCAAGTCAAAATTGGAAAATAAGGAGGTTGAAAAACTAGAGACATCCATGTAATTCTAAATCCTAAAATTTAAACCTTGGTTTGGAAGCATTGAAAGTATATTAGAAGCCTTTTTTTTTTTGTTGTTGTCAATAAGAGCCTACTAAAATATTCTTTAAAAAATATTATTTTATATTATAAAATTTGATAAATAAAATTTATGGAAGATATTTATATGCACCTTCAATTTGTATAAAAAATGCATTTACTTTTGCAAGACAAATAAGACAGAGGAGAGGCAAACATATGAAGCGCCAACTTCAACAAACAAGGGAGTGGAGAAGTGCCAAAGTATGCCAACAAGCATTGATAAAAGAGCGTCAATTTTTCTATGATGGCTGGAAATAAGATGATCCATGTAATTGTCACCACATTATTTGAATTTTTTCACAATTCTTATTGGTTTGCTCACAATAAGATTGTAGATAGAAGTATTGATGGAGTTATGTTAAAGAAAACCAATAATGGTGGATATTCAAAGAAATGATTGTATAAAGACTGTCTTCGATAAGATTATATTCATACAATCCTTTCTATGTTCGAAGCTTATGCAATATAATCTTATCCAATACAAACTTATGCATAAGCTTAAAACATAGGTTATATGATTTTAAGTCATTTACACATATAATATATTTAAAAGTAGTCTAAATATGATATTTTACAACTACAAAATATATAAATAATTTTTAAGCCATTAATTTTATTGTCATGGTGTAAATAAGTCTACATGATTTTTTTTAGATATTATATAAAGGGTTATTTTAAAAATTAAAAAACTTCATATCTTCTAAATTATAAAATTGTTAAAGATTTTAAATGTACCATTAGAATCAAGGGCATTGTAAATAGGGAAGGTGAAAGAAAGACATATCAATTCAAAATTCCAAAAAGATAAAGCACAAAAGAAGTCAAAGGCCTAATATCTAAAAAATAAAAAATTTTTGAGCATTCTAAGTTTTTTAATAAATTTGGAGATCTCTAAAATAGGAAAATAGATTATATCAAAATATAAAAAATCCTAGCTATTTGTAAATTTAATTTAAAATTTAAAATAATTAAATAATATATTTAAAATAAATAACTTCTAAATAAATTTAATAATATTTTTAATACAAAATAAATCTAATGGTAGACTTCATAAGGAAGTTCCTTCATATAGAGATATATTTAGTTAAACACAAATATTTTTTTTAAAGTCTTAATATTTTTATTTTTATAATATATTTCTTTTAATTAATAATAATTTTAAAATTTCTTAATTTCCTTATTTTTATTTTCTATGGACCATATCAAAGGCAAAGATAGGATTTATTCTATTCTTACAAATAGTCCTAAATGGTTGCCATGTATAAGTCCCACTGATAGATCTTAATTTACGAAATTTCAAAAAATAATTTTTTAGATTATTTAGATATTAAAATTTTAAATTATAAATTTAATTTTATTATTTAGGTATTTATAAGAATTTATAAGAAATTAGAAGAATTTATAAATTGCAAGAGTCTTAGTAAAGAAGAATTCATGAAAAAGAAGTCTTAAAAAGTCTAATAATCCAAATGAATCTAATGTTGTTTTCTTTTCATGATAAGAATTTGTGTTTAATTATAGAGACCAATGTCTACATTGGCCTTACATCTACGTGTATTACTTATAAAAATACCTCTAAATATTAATTAATAGGTAGAAGAAGCATAAAAAATTATCTCATGTCTTTTAAGTTTGTTATAAAGAAAATAAGTTTTTTAATTAATTTAAATTAATTTTATCAATAAAAATAATTATAAAAATAAGATAAAATAGTTTTAAATTAATTTTAGAATTATAAAAGTATATAATAAGTTTTTTTATAATTAATTTAAAATATTTAAAAAATAAATAGAGAAAATTTCAAGACTTTGATTTAAAATAATTTTTACCACCTTAAAAACCCATTATAAAGAAATTGAACAAGTTTTGAAAGTCCTACAAGGTTCTTAGGCTAATTAAATATTTTTTGAATACCATTGTGTAAATCATTAGTTAATAGAATATGATTAGTTTTATAATATATAATTATACAATTGCATTTCTTTTATTTATTTTGTATTTTTTCTTCTTTTTTTCTTGTTATTTTCTTCTCTTACTTTATACCACCAATTATAAAAAAAACTCTTAATTGAGATTATCTTGTAATTTAGGTTGAAAGGTGAATTTTACCTTCACAAGTATATTCTATAAGTTATAAGACTTATAAGTTTATATACTTTAACTTTATACTTATAAACTCACTTTTGTAATAAGAAGGTTTTTTGGGATTGTAAAATTTTTTATCTTTATATATTTTGAAATTTCAAGTTACAATTGTAGAATAAAAAAAAAATTGAAGTTTTTAGATTGATTAATATTAAAAATTTTACTTCATAATTTTTTTTTGAATTAAATTACAAATAAATAGTATTATTATTTTTTTCTAATTATATATTTATAAATATAGATTCTTTGTTTTTTTTATTGATTTTTTTTTGATAATAATTTTTTTATTGATCAATATTATAATTTCTTTATTATAATAATTTTAATACTTATAAATATAATAATATGTTTTAATATTAAACTAAAATTAAATTTTATTTTTGTAAATAGGAGTTTTAGTAGCTCAAATAAATAAGTTTCATAGTCTAAGATACAACATGATCTAATAATTTATAAAAAATTTAAAACCAAAAGACTAATAAAGCTAATATAGGTTAAAAATTAAATTAATGTTTTTATTATTATAAAAAGAATTTTTATTACATTTAAAAAGATCTAGAATTATTTACAACTTAATGTATGTAGCTACTTCAAGAATTGATAAAATGTGGCAATTTTGTAGACATTGCAAGTGCTTGGATTCTAATGCAATAATAGCCATCCATGACAGATATGCATTTTCATACCAATGTAATAGATGTCTTTATCAACATTTTATTTGTTTCACAAATGATGATTATCAATCACTCTCATTCTTATCCTAAATATGATTAGATCAAAGCAAATAGAGTCTTATTGGCCTCAACCACAATTGCATTCTTTTCTAATAATTGTTGAAAAGTACATGTTTTTTTCTTACATACATACTTATACTTGTGACATTGCTCTCTTTGATACAAGAAGTAGCGTTGCTGAAGTAATTGACAAAGATTGCTTTGTCTCATATGTTTCTTTTAAAAAATATGTAGTTATTTGAACCTGGTATCATGTAATAATATGATTATATAATAAAAAAATAAAAAATATGGATGTTATTTACTTTATAGAAGCATAAATAAGCCAATTAAAGTAAATGAGATAAGAAATTAATATAGACATATTTAAAAAAGAATTAAAAATAGGATAAAGAAAAAATTATCTTAAATTATGAAAACTTTGTATCTGGAGAAGACTAATTGTTTACTTGAGTTAAAAGCAAATCCCAAGGCACTAAATTACACATCTATAGTAACTCCAAGGTTTTTTTTGCAAATTGAAAAATGAGATTTGAAAAAAAACTTGAAGAGATATTTTTTAGTATTTATCTCATTTCATTTAAATTAATATTAAAAATTTGAAGAATTTTTAAAATTAATGATGTATTTGATAGATTTAGATTTTGAGAAATAAAAATATATTTATTAATTTGAAAATTTCTTAAATTTTGTAATATGTGAATAGATGAAAATTAGGCAATGTATTTTTGTACTTATTGTAAATATGTGCAAAAAAATTAAGGTCAATTAAGCACTTAGATTGAAACATATGAGGATTTTTGTGGATTATGGTTTTAGAAATTTGAAATTAAGGATCAATAAATAATTCTAAGATCTGGCAATATCTAGTAGTTAGATTGTTTAGGATTTATTTAGGATTTGGTTATGATTTAGGATTTTATTTGAATTTGAGTAGGATTTGTTTAGAATTTGTTTAGAATTTTATTAGGATTTTACTTGGATTTATTATCATTGGTCTAAGATTTAGGATTTTATTAGGATTTGACCTAATTTTTGATTAAGATTTATTAGGATTTTAACTAGAATTTGATTTAAGATTTAATTAAGATTTATTAGGATTTTAATTGAAATTTGATTAGAATTTATTTAGAATTTATTTAGATTTTTTAACTTTAGTATTTCTTTAGGATTTATTATTATTTTTTAAAAATTTTCTATTCTTAATATTTTTTAAGATTATTATTATTTCTTTAAAGATTTATTTTTATATTTATTTAAGATTTCTTTAATTTTTCTTTGACATTAATTTAAGACTTCTTTGTATTTTTTTTTTTAATTTCTTTTAATTTTTTTTAAATTTAAGTTGAATTGATTAGGATTATAAAATATTACTTAAAGTTTATTTAAGGTTCTACTAGACTTAATAAGATTGTTGCATTTCTACTTATCTTCCACAACTAGATGCTCAATGCATTCTCAAACAAGAATACATGCAATACAACATCGGTTGGGTTGATAATTGGTCTACTAAGAGTATGGTAG